CTCAACCAAAATGAAACAAGAAAATATAAGGAAAAGAAAGAGAGAAAGATTGAAAATAAATATTGTATAAAGATATTTAAGTGTATTGGTTTGGCTCAGGGAGTATCCTCAGATAAAGAGTAGGCTATGATGATTAATGATGGAATTCTCTACAGCAGTGATTCCCAGTGTGGTACCACTAGTGGTACGCGGGGCTCCCTCTAGTGGTACGCCAAAGAATCACTGAAATAAATATAAATAAACATGAAATCCTATCAAACATATTAGAATGGATGAAAAGATATTATCAGCTGATGGCAAGAAAATGAAAAGAGATACAAATTAAGTTACGACTTTTAAAAAGTTTGCAAGTGCTTCTGGCTAGCAGTAGCTACGTAGCGCCAAACTGCCGTTGACGTTGACATCGTCAGTCATTCACGGTAGCTACAGGCAAGAGGTGATGGTGAGAATTGGAGGTTTCTAATAATGAAGACGTCTAAACTTCTGTCGTGGCTTCAATCTGCGAAGGGAAGTGTGGGCAGGGTGCAGGTGCACACAGCGGCTACTTTGGTGGCCCGCAGCGCAGCCCCCAGCGACGCCGCCAACGAAACCCGCAACGAAGCCCGCAGCGAAACCCGCAGCGCAGCCCCCAGAGCAGCTGCTAGCAACAACAACCGGCAAAAACCAGTTTGGATGTATTTGGAGCGGGGGAGAGGAAGAGCCCAGGCCGCAGTGTGTGTTATGTGGCGACGTTTGGAGCAATGAATGCATCGCATCTCAAACGGCATCTTACAACCTAACACAGGGCACTTAACGACAAACCTGTGGACTTTCGTTTACGAAAATGTGATGAACTGAAGCAGTCAAAGTCCACCATTCAGTCCTGTGGTACACCTACAGCACAGGAAGCTTCATATCGTGCCAGCCTCCGGGTCGCTGGAGCCGGTAAGCCGCACACAATCGGCGAACAGTTGTTTACCTTTGGCCAAAGAGATGACACGGATCATGTGCTGAGAGAAAGCTGCCAGAGAGTCAAACTTACTGCCACTTTCAAATGACACCGTGTCAAGGAGAATACAAGACATGGCTGGCGATGATCCAAACCCACTGACTGAGCGCATTAAGAACAGTCGTTATTTTGCCATACAGCTTGATGAGACTACAGATGTTGCAGATTTGGCCAATTTATTGGTGTATGTGAGATATGAATATGATGGTGCAGCTCAGGAGGATTTTATGTCCTGTCAGTCACTTGAGACCAGAACTGCAGCAGAGCACATATTCCAGGTACTGCACGCGTTTATCCAAGAGAACGGACTGGACTGGGAAAAGTGTGTGGGTGTGTGGACAGACGGCGCGAGGGCTATGACGGGTCGTAACAGCGGGGTAGCAGCTCGCATCCGAGAGGTGGCACCTGAGATGCGCTGGACTCACTGCAGTGTCCATCGTGAGGCGCTGGCAGTGAAGAAGATGCCTGATGACCTGAAGTCTGTGCTGGACTCTGCAGTAAAAACTGTGAACTTCATCAAGGCCAGGCCGATGAATGCTCGCTTATTTCATGTGCTCTTTGAGGAGATGGGTAGTGAGCATGTCCAACTCTTGCTTCATACTGAAGTAAGGTGGCTTTCAAGTGGAAAGGTGCTTTCGAGGCTGTAGAGTCTACAGTATCTGTATGTTACTTGAGTACCTGAGACCTTTTTAAATCATTTCTTAAACTCACCGACAATTGCACCTCCTACGAGTCCAAATGCAATGGCTACACATGTGCCAGCAGCCTGGAAGCCTCCCTGTGTCCCAACAGACCTGTCTGCAAATTCACCTTCAAAGTCAAATGTGTTGATCAACCTGGACAGAAAAAAACAACTTAGTAAGCCAGATTTTCAAAAAAAAAGGACCTTGCACTGAGAAGAAACTGCAAACATGTTTGTGAATAGTAGCAATAACAGGACTTGATTAAACAAATTATATATGTCTGTTTCAATCACTTACCCCTCTTTACTATAGACAGACTCAGTGGCTGCTGCAGCAACGATGGCACCTACGAAGCCACCCAGCATCCCTGGCAAAGCGTGCAGGTTGTGGACGCCACATGTATCCTGGATTTTCAGATACTTCTCTAAGAATGGCTGAGAATGAGAAAACAGTCATATGTTGAATACTGATCTGTAAGATTTAAACACACTGAACTTGTCTCAAAATGTAATTTCATTCTTCTGCCTTCATGTTGCCTCATTAATGTTTATGCTAGTGTTTACTCTCCTTTCTTATTTTTTTTGCTTTCGCTCTGAGGACGACAGTGTCACCACGCAGACAGATCAAAAGCCAGGAGGCGGAGTCTCACCGTGACATACAGGTAGCCGAAGGTGGAGATGATTCCGCAGCAGAAACCCACGATGAGTGAACCATAGGGAGTGATCATGAACTCTGCCGCTGTCCCCATGGCAACACCACCAGCCAGAGTGGCATTCTGGATATGCACCTTTCAGTTGAGACAGTGTGTTAGACACGAGAATGAAATAGACCAACATGAATGTTAAACCATGACTGATTCTTCACTCGTGTGTTTTCCCTGTGTTGTTACCATGTCTAGTTTTCCTCTCTTCTGAGACATGCTGGAAATGGCCACCGTTGTGAGCACAGAGGAGGCGAGGGCGAGGTAAGTGTTGATGGCGGCTCTGTGCTGTCCGTCGCCGTGGTCCGTGATGGCCGAGTTGAAACTGGGCCAGAACATCCACAGGAACAGTGTTCCTGTGAGGGGGAGGAACGTCAATTAAACCATCCAACTGTTGAATATTTACAGTCAAGCTTATAGATCTGAATCATTTGAGGACTGAATTAAATCCTAAAGAAAATCCTGATATGTGAGTCTAAAAGTTATTGAAGTTTAAATCCTGAACCAGCCAATCACTCACCGATCATAGCAAATACATCCGAGTGGTAGACGGATCCATTGAGGCCTTTGCTTTGGTACAGGTTTGGTCGGTACAGGACCCAGGAAATGGCTAAACCATAGTATCCTCCAAAGGCGTGAATGACCATGGAGCCTCCAGCATCTCTGCACTGTGGACACATTAAGATTTCACTCAACAGTAGATACACATAGCAGCAGCACAAAATACAACCTGCACTGTCTGACGGAAAATTCTCCCCTTGGACCGTTAATACAATACATTTGAACAGATTAAAACTTCAATGAGCTTCAGTCGGGCTGATGATGTTTGGTGAGACTCACATGAAGGAGGTCGAGGATGATGTATTCTTCCACAGCAAAGAGTGTGACGCCAAATAAGGTGACAACCAACAGCTGGACGGGGCTCACTTTTCCCAGCAGGGCACCGTAGGCGATCAGAGAGCCGGCACAGCAGAAGTCAGCATTGATCAGACTGCGTGGGACGAGAGCAACAACAACAAATGGGTGAATACAAACAAATCACTTAAGTGAGGCTTCACCAGGCAAACCTGACAGACCTGCATAGGCCCTCTTATCTATTTCACACATCCTTGTCAAAGCCTGCTGCCGTCAGTATCCACAATGCATCTCAGGTCTATTAAATTTGTAAAGGAAATGAGGAGCAGGCAACAAAGATGCTCACCTCTCAACTCCAATGGTGATTTTTCCAGTTTCGGGGTCGAGGGAGTGGAACCAGCCTTGCATGAGAAGGGCCCACTGCAGACCGAAGGAGGCAATCAGGAAGTTGAAGCCGACGCCGCCGAAGCTGTAACGTTTCAGGAAGGTCATAAGGAAACCGAAGCCAACGAAGATCATGACGTGGACGTCCTGGAAGCCTGGAGGGACAGAAAATCAAACATGAATCAATCAATCCATCTGTATTCACACAAAGTCAGTTGCATTGTAAAAATAATTCAACAGAACATCAGTTGACAGTGTCTCTAATTTTCGACTCAGAAAATTAATG